TCTTGGAGTTGAAACCCTTTGAATTTTCAAGTTCTTCAAAACCCTCTCCAAACTTAGAACTCAAAATTCTATGTTAAAAATTATATATTAAAAATCTGATATTAAGCTACAACTCTCAACGACTATTTATAGTTTTCAAAAATCTGTGCTGCAGCGGATCATTCGGCGTCGTTAGTCGAGATCGCCGATCAACTCTGCGATCCACCCTTTGGTAGGTTTTATCGTCGTCTTACTCTATCCTTCAGCATCATCGTGTTTTGGATCATTGGGTGACATATTACTGCTTCGCAGAACTGCTCGGCGACATGCTGACTTCTCTTTTTCACCACCGATTTGATCCTTTCTTTTAGGGTTCATCACACTGGAACAAAAGGCGAGGATCAGACCTTTTGGCGATTCACCGAATGGGTTCGGTGATTCTCAGATCTTCATTTCTTCATTTCTTCATTTTTTCAGTTGTCTTTCTTCCTTTTTTGCTAAGTAGTGTACAATAGTAAAGTAACCCAACCAAGGGTTGGGGTCGAGTCCCAAGAGAGTGGGCCTGAGAATTAATAGAAAAATAAAATTAAGTTTTAATTAATCATAGCTAAAAACATTATCGAATATAAACATGTTAAATCTAAGGGGTGACGCAAGCGTCAATTATCATTGGGGGTTTGTTATAAGTAAGTAAAAACAACAAAAATAAGGAGAGATACGAATATGGAGACGAGATTCTTGGGATGTGATAGGAATACGGGTTAGACTAGACTATTGGGTACATACTTTTGATAGTAAATCCGTTGACTATTTGTGACTAGGCTAGACTATAGTGGGGGTAAATTCTCTCTCGAGCAACTTACCCCGAGCAACATTCGCATACATACACGTATTGTAAAAAAGCAAGAACAAACATATATCACACAATCATGAAATCAGTACCATCACCTACCTCGAAACAAGCTTGAATTCCCTATGAAACTTGATTCTTCCCTTTCCGGATTCGTTCTGCTTGTTCTTGGTCTACAAACCATTTATTTAACACGGGAATCAATAAACAATAACTAATTACCCACACTACCAATAATTCTATCAACTCTAGATCAAATCCATGATCCCAATATCCAAATTAGGGCTTTTCCCACCTAATTTCCAGATCAAAACCCTTTCTCGTCGATAATTACCCACTAGATTACAATCTACGGATCGAAAAACGGAATCGGGGAGTTAAAATCTTACATTTAGCCTCAAGAATGGTGGAAAACTGTCAAGAAAACACCTGGGTACGTTCCTTAGCTCTCAAGTTCAAAAATTGCAAAATAAGACGTTTTTGTGGTTTATTTCCGACTTTAAGTTGTGTTTGCCCCGCTATGGCGGCACTCACCCCTCTACAACGGCCCCGCCCTGGCGGGAAAATCCTACCTCAGTGGCTTGCACGGAACCAATTAGCAAAATTAATAATTCCAAGACCCCCATTTCACAACACACCTTTAACCAATGACACTCAGAAACTACCATTTCACGCTAAGATCAATTTCGAGAGTTCTACTCACCCGAATTCAATTTTGTAAAGTCGTACAGGTTCCTTAACGTCTTAGCTATCTACTCATGTGATCAAATTCACAATTAGATCACCCAATTGTTACTATATTTCCCTAGACTTTAAAGACTCCGATTTCGTCCAAATCTGGACTAGGTTGGGAAATTCCAATTTACTACAAAAAAGTTTTTCGGCCCAAAATTTTCCCCGTTGGCTTTTCTATAACGACGGGAACTGGTCGTTACACAATCAAGTCCCCACAATGCAAGGTTACGTTTGAGGAAGAACAATAGTCATATTGGGCAGATAATTATTCTTCACATTAAAGCTAAAAAAAATATAATTGAATTTATACCACTAAACAGAGTATCAAGTGATAGAAAGTATCTGGCATCTTTAATTAAAAATAAATTAAAAATATTCCTCTTCAACAACAATACATTAACAACAATCTCTACAAACACAACAACAATAACATATATTGCAAATGGAGCAAACATAGTGCATAAATAACCAATAATTGAGATGGTTGTGGATTACCAGAGCTAGCCATTATTCTTAAAAATAAGCTTTTTAATTGTACATGACATTGAATTAGACAACAAGAAACTATTGAAATTGCCATCAAACTAGAAAATGAATTTTGGCTTTACCCTGATTGCAATTTCAACAATGACCAATTGTCTAATTCATTTTCACGATCAATTAACACTGCCTTTTCAATAATAACGGGAAGTCCTTGTGATCCATAACTGTCTCAATCATTGGTTTCTCCTTCTCTATTTAGGAAAAGGTTTTGGAGGATATAAAAAGAGTTGAAATATTATCTCCAAAGTGGAGAACATGTATAAGGAGAGAAATAGAGAATACAATTGAGGGGTGAAAAGTTAAGGAACAAAAGAAGAGGTTTTATAGTGGGTGAAAGGTGTTGTTTACAAGATAATATTTGGAAATTTTGTAAATAACATTTCATATATATTGATTTACATTAGATTTGATTGAGGAGGGTAAAATTAAGGAATAAAGAAGAGGTTTTATAGTTGGTATAAGGTGGTTTTACAAGATAGTATTTGGGAATTTTGTAAATAACATTCCATATATTTTGATTTATATAAGATTTGATCAGAAGTCAGTTTTACCAAACCTACAGAAAACATAATTTTAGTAAGAAAATCATTATCATAAAGTAATAAAATAATTTATTATTGTTAATTCAATTTTTTTTCTAGTCAACATTTAAATACCTTAAAGTGTTTTCCACGTATATTTACGTTAATATGTTAACAAATTAATTTCAATTGTCTATAATTTTTAGAAATTTTGTAAATAACATTCCATATATATTGAATTGCATTAGATTTGATGAGAAACCAAAATTTAAGCGAACCTACCAAAAATATAATTTTAGTAAGAAAATCATTATCATAAAGTTGATAAATAAATTATTATTGTTTGTTCAAATTTTGTCGAGTCAACATTCAAATACCTTAAAGTAATTTTCGTGTCTCTGTGTACGTTAATATGTTAACGACTCAATTTCATACATTGTTGTCTATAATATTTGAGAATCTTGTAAATAACATTCTATATATCTTGATTTCCATAAGATTTAATCAGAAGCAAAAATTAAACCGAACCTACCAAAGATATAATCATAGTAAAAAAATCATTACCATAAAATAAGTAAATATATTATTATTAATTCAAACTTTTTCCTAGTCAACATTTAAATACCTTAATGTGGTTTTCTCATCTCTATATACATTAATATTGTAACACCTAGTGAAGTGAAAGAGCTAGAATTAGAAAGAGTCATTTTTGGAAAGAATGAAAAATCTGGAAATTTGTTTAAGTTAGGATAAGCTTGAGTTTTGGGTCAACTTCAAACGATCATAACTCCTAGCTCATGATGAGTTACGTGTGCTACAAGATACCATAGGAAATATCTTTGGATTATCTTTCCAACGCCACCAAGTTTGCTCACTTTCAAATTCGTATGAGGGAGATATGTCCATTTGAATTCGGGCTGTCTAGATAAGGAAAGTCAAAACCGGATTTGTAAGGGGTATTTTGGTGTTTTCCATACCAGATTAAGTTAATTCGTTTTTAGCAATTAAATTAGGGCCTAAACTGAAATGGTTCAGTTTAGACAATTGGAAATTAACGCTAGGGTTTTTGGAGAAAGAACTCAAGAGGAGAAATGACGAGAAAAGTTCAAGATTCGTCAAGTTCTTGCGATTTTGGTTGTGAATTTCACCAAGGATTCAATCCTACTATGTATGTGAGACTTTCATAACATTGGGTTCATTCACCCACGTGTCAAACATATTTATTTCAGCGTGAATTCGTCCTAAAAGAGTGGAAGTTTGAATGTTCTTGATGGGTGTTCTTGAATTGCTTTCGTTCTTGAATTTGGGTTGAGATTGAGAAGTTCTTGAGAGTTTAATGTCAATTATTAGAGTAGTTTTGAGTTAGATTCTAGTGTGTATGTATTGGGTACCTGAATCCAAAGAGATATTGAGAAAAAGAATTGAAATTAATCGAATTGAGGTCTGAAAACGAGAGGAAAAAATCGTCAGATTCGCCTTGGGAAATGTTGGCGCGGCATGCCCCCGTTGTGCCAGAAGGACTGGGGCGACACGCCAGCAGTGAGGCAGGTCTATCCGCCCCAACCCATTTTTTGTCGTTTAGCCCGTTTAAGTCCTTCTAAAGGGTACTAACACTTCCTATTGATTCTAACTACTCTAAATGACTTCTAAACACCTAGAAATCATCCTTATATATGAATCATAACCTTGAATCTATAAATTCAAATTCAAGGAAAGTTAAGAGTCAAATCTAGAAAGTTCATAGAGTCTTTTCAAGAAGTCTTTTGCACATGTTTTAATCTTGTTTTAAGAATTGAGTTTGAGTTAAGTAAGAGAAACAAATGAAGTTCATTTCTTCAAAAAGAGTATATGGGAACTAAGTATTCTCAAAGAGTAAATGTTTTCACATTTAAACAAGAGTGGAAAAACTGATTTTCAAGAGAGTTTTTGAGCTAGTTTTTGAGTAATTATCTCAAAGAACAAAAAGAGTTTTTTTGTTTTTAAAACATATGAGCTGAGTATTTTGGGAGTAGTATTGAGCACCGATGTTGGGACGAGTTCATAACAACTCAATGTCTCCATAAACCATGTAGCCATCATAGGTAGAAAGGGTCATACTTTTTAGATGATTCTTTAGTGCTTGTTAGCATAGACTAGTGGATCCACTTATTTGAGGCATTCTATAACACAACAAGTTATAGGATAGTTTTGGCAATGTGGGTGAGACGTTGTATCATCACATAGCTCATAATAATGGTTGTTGGTTAGAGAAACTCCCACAAAGTTATATTAATTTATTATATATGTATATTGAGTTGTTTCTTACTATTTTAAATGCTTTATATAAATTGCATCTTTAATGTTGTTTAATTCTGCATTTGCGTTTAGTATCCATGAGTTTAAGTAAAGTTGAGGTAAGTGATTCTTTCAGAATCCAGCTTATGTATTGTTTAGAATTCCCCTCGCATGCTCGTACATTCAATGTACTGATGCCATTTGGCCTGCATCATTTTATGATGCAGATACAGGTAACCAGGATCAGCATCCAACGCCTTGTTGATCCAGTTGAGCACTCAGAGTCAGTTGGTGAGCCTCATTGCTTCCGGAGGATTCCCTATGTATTGCTTTATTAATTAGTTCATTAGGATGTCATGGATCTTGTTCTAGCGTCCATCTTAGGTGTTAGAGGCTTCATAGATAGTAGTTGATGTTAGTTCTTGAGTCTTTCCATTCTTGTTTTGATGATTGAGACTTGAGTGCCATTTTGGCTAGTGAATGTTCTCTATAAATTCTATGTTTTTATTGAGATTTTAGTTTACTTTTAAAGTATTTTTATCATGAGTAAGTCGTCTGTTGAGTAGTAAGCCAGGCCAAGGGTTCGCTTGGGGCGAGCAATGGTTCTCAGTGCAGTCCGCCCAGGGTGTAGGCTAGGGGCGTGACAAACTTGGTATTAGAGCACAAAGTTCAAGAGTCCTAAGAAGTCTATGAAACCATCTCCATAGAGTCCTAGTTATCGATGTGAAGCGCGTCACATCTATAATTAGGAGGCTGTGACATTTAGGAACTATCTCACTTCTTTCACATTCATTTCGTGAGATAGAGTTTATCTCTATGAAAGTTTCCTTCTAACTCGTGCTTGCACATGTCTTTCAGATCATTCCTCTACAAAGAATTGTTCGAGATGATCCTGCTAGGCGTAATGTCGAGGAACAAGGGGTACCTAATGCACCTGAAGTGCAACCCCAAGTCGAAGTCACCAATGGTGAGTTTAAGGAAGCGATCAGAATGTTAAGTGAAGTTGTGACCAACCAAGTTGGGCAGAGGGAGAACCAACAGGAAAGGAATGATACTTCGAGGATCCGTGAGTTCTTGAGGATGAATCCTCCAAGCTTCGTTGGTTCAAGCACTACTGAGGATCCGGAAAATTTTGTTGAGGAACTGCAAAAGGTGTTTGAGGTTATGCACGTTGTCGATGCTAAGCGAGTGGAACTAGATGCATATCAATTGAAGAGTGTTGCCAGGACTTGGTTTGACCAGTGGAAGAAGGGTAGAGCTGAGGGTGCACCAATTTTGAGTTGCGCTATGTTTGAAGAGGTTTTCTTGGGGAATTTCTTTCCCCGTGAACTGAGAGAACCCAAGGTACGAGAATTCCTTACTTTTAAGCAGGATTCACTAAGTGTTCATGAGTACAGTTTGAAGTTCACCCAATTTTCCCGATATGCTCCGAAAATGGTTGGGGATATGAGAAGCGGGATGAGTCTGTTTGTTGATGGGTTGTCTCGTCTGTCAAGCAAAGAGGGCAAGGCAGCTATGCTAATAGGGGACATGGATATATCAAGGTTGATGGTTTATGTGCAGCAAGTTGAGGAAGAGAAGCTGAGGGATATGAAAGAATTTAGAAACAAGAAGCCTAAACATCGGGGAATGAGTCCGGGTAGCAAAAGAATAATATGAACCGGTCTTCTTTCCAACAGAAACATAAGGGACCTACTCAATCATCTGCTAGTGCACCGGCACCAAGGAACAAATGTGAGTATAATAGTCAGAATTCGCAGAATTCAAAGCTAGACTTGCTCAGTCTCAAGGTAGTGTAGCACAAGGAGGTAACTAGGATCCTGCATGTGCTAAGTGTGGTAGAAATCACCCAGGTGCGTGTTGCGATGGCTCAACTGGTTGTTTCAAGTGTGGACAAGAGGGTCACTTCATGAAAGAGTGTTCTAAGAACAGGCAGGGCAATGGAAATAGGGGCAATAGAGACCAATCTTCTTCAGTTGTCCCACCATATAAAGCTTCACCTAGAGGAGCTACCTCAGGGACTGGCCGAGGAGCAAACCTTTTTTATGCTATCACAAGTCTTCAAGAGCAAGAGAATTCTCCAAATGTTGTCAGTGGTATGATCAAAGTCTTTACTTTTGATGTTTATGCTTTTCTAGATCCAGGAGCGAGTCTATATTTTGTGACTCCTTATGTTGTAATGAATTTCGATGTTCTTCCTGAGAAAGTTCGTGAGCCCTTCAGTGGTCCATACCCGTTGGTGAGTCCATTATGGTTGAGAGAGTCTATCGTGATTGTGTCATTATCATCAATCACAAGAGCACCATGGATGACTTAGTTGAGTTAGACATGGTATATTTTGATGTCATTCTAGGTATGAACTGGCTTCATGCCTGTTATGCCTCCATTGATTGTAGAACTCGAGTTGTTAGGTTCCAAATTCTAAATGAGCTAGTTATAGAGTGGAGTAGCAATTCAGCAGTGCCTAAGGGTCATTTCATTTCGTACCTTAAGGCGAGAAAGTTAGTTTCCTAGGGTTGTGTCTATCACTTAGTCCGAGTTAATGATTCTAGTGTTGAGACACCTCCTGTTGAGTCAGTTCTTGTTGTGAGTGAGCTTCCTGAGGTCTTTCCAGATGATCTCCTCGGAGTCTCTCCTAAGAGAGAAATAGACTTTGATATACATATTATTCCCGATACTCGTCCTATATCTACTCCGCCATATAGAATGACTCCAACAAAGTTGAAAGAGCTAAAAGAGCAGTTGAAATATCTCCTTGATAAGGGTTTCATTCAACCAAGTGTCTCATATTGGGGCGCTCCGGTCTTATTTGTGAGGAAGAAGGATGGTTCCTTTAGGATGTATATAGATTACCGTCAGTTGAACAAGGTTACCATCAAGAATAAGTATCCTCTTTTGAGAATTGATGATCTTTTCGATCAGCTTCAGGGTGCCACTTGTTTTTCTAAGATAGACCTCAGATCAGGCTACCATCAGTTGAGAGTATGGGAAATATGATACTCCAAAGACAGCATTCAGGACCCGTTATTGTCATTATGAGTTCCTAGTTATGTCATTTGGTTTGACTAATGCACCTGCAGAGTTCATGGACCTTATGAACAGAGTATTTAAGCCTTATTTAGATATGTTTGTTATCATTCATTGATGACATACTAATCTTTTCGAGGAATGAAGAAGATCATGCTAGTCATCTCATAATAGTTCTCCAAACTCTAAAGGATAGAGAGTTGTATGCTAAGTTCTCTAAATGTGAGTTTTGGCTTGAGTTTGTGGAATTCTTAGGCCATATTGTTTCCGATGATGGAATTAGAGTTGATACCCAGAAAATAGAGGCAGTGCAGAATTGGCCTAGACCCACATCTTTAACTGATATTAGGAGTTTCTTGGGGTTGGTTGGATATTATAGAAGGTTCGTAGAGGGGTTCTCATCTATTTCGTCCCCTTTGACCAAGTTGACTCAAAAAATAGTTAAGTTTCAATGGTCTGAAGCTTGTGAGAAAAGCTTTCAGGAATTGAAAATAGGTTGATTATTGCCCCAGTATTGACCTTACCAGAAGGTACTCAAGGTTTTGTTGTATATTGTGATGCTTCGAGAGTTGTTTTAGGTTTTGTGTTAATGAGGAATGGCAAAGTTATAGCTTATGCCTCCATACAGCTGAAAGTTCACGAGAAGAATTATCCAACTCATGACCTAGAGTTGGCTGCCATGGTATTTGCTTTGAAAATTTGGCGTCATTATCTTTATGGAGTTCATGTAGATGTGTTCACCGATCACAATAGTCTTCAGTATTTGTTTAGTCAGAAAGAGCTTAATCTCAGAAAAAAGAGGTGGTTAGAGTTACTCAAAGATTATGATATGAGTATCCTCTATCACCCAGGTAAGGCTAATATTGTTGTTGATGCCTTGAGCAGGTTGTCTATGGGTAGTACTGCCCATTTTGAGGAAGAAAAGAAAGAACTAGTAAAATATGTGCATAGACTTGCATGATTAGGAGTTCGCTTAATGGATTCCACAGAAGGAGGGGTAGTGGTGATAAATGGGGCTGAATCATAATTAGTGGCAAAAGTGAAAGAAAAGCAAGGCCAAGATCCTATTTTGCTTGAGTTAAAGGCAAATGTTCATAAGCAAAAAGTGATGATTTTTGAACAAGGGGGAGACGGTGTATTGAGATATCAAGGTAGATTGTATGTACCAAGGGTGGATGAACTCTAAGAGAGGATCATGGAGGAAGCTCATAGCTCCAGATATTCCATTCATTCGAGTTCCACAAAGATGTATCATGACCTGAGAGAAGTGTATTGGTGGAATAGTATGAAGAAAGGTATTGTTGAGTTCGTTGCTAAATGTCCGAATTGTCAACAAGTTAAAGTAGAGCATCAAAGGCTCGGTGGTATGGCTCAGAATATAGAGATTCTGGAGTGAAAGTGGGAGATGATCAATATGGACTTTATTACTAGTTTACCATAGTCTCGCAGGCAACATGATTCTATTTAGGTGATTGTGGATCGAATGACCAAATCAACCCACTTTTTACCGGTAAAGACTACCCATTAAGCAGAGGATTATGCTAAGTTATACATTCAAGAGGTAGTAAGACTGCATGGAGTCCCTGTTTCGATTATATCAGATAGAGGGGCACAATTTACTGCACAGTTCTGGAAATCTTTTCAGAAAAGCTTGGGTTCAAAGGTGAACTTAAGTACTGTTTTTCATCCTCAAACTGATGGTCAAGCAGAGTGCACTATCCAGACTTTAGAAGATATGTTAAGGGCTTGTGTGATTGATTTCAAAGGTAATTGGGATTATCACCTACCTCTCATTGAGTTTGCTTATAACAATAGTTACCATTCTAGCATTTAGATGGCTCTTTATGAACCTCTCTATGGGAGAAGATGCAGATCTCTAGTTGGATGGTTCGAGGTTGGTGAAGTTGGGTTGATAGGACCAGACTTAGTTCATCAAGCTATGGAGAAAGTGAAAATTATTCAAGAGAGGTTGAAAGCAGCGCAGAGGATTCAGAAATCCTACACTGATGTTAGGAGAAGGGAGTTAGAGTATGAAGTAGATGATTGGGTATACTTGAAAGTTTCACCCATGAAGGGTTTTATGAGATTTGGTAAGAAGTGGAAGCTTATCCCCCGGTACATTGGTCCTTACAGAATATCCAAGAGGATTGGCAATGTAGCTTATGAGTTGGAGCTACCACAAGAGTTAGCAGCGGTCCATCCGGTATTTCATATTTCCATGTTGAAGAAGTGCGTGTGAGATTCTTCAATTATCATACCTACTGAAGATATTGGTATCAAGGATATCTTATCTTATGGGGAGATTCCTGTTCAGATTCTAGATCACCAACTTCGCAAGTTGAGAACAAAAGAGGTAGCATCAGTCAAAGTTATATGGAAAAATCAGTTTGTTGAGGAAGCTACTTGGGAAGTTGATGAGGATATGAAGAAGAGATACCCACATCTCTTCGAATCCGGAGAAGTTCTAAATTAAGGTACTAATCCTTTTCTTGGCATTTATTTTAAGTTGGCATGTTGTATTTACAATTTTGCTTGTTTGGTGTTTGAGCTAAATGTTAGATATTACACCCTTAGTCTACTTTGAGTGACCTCATTCGAGGGCGAATGTTCCCATGGGGGAGATACTGTAACACCTCGCTAAGTGAAAGATCTAGAATTAGAAAGAGTCATTTTTGGAAAGAATGAAAAATTTGGAAATTTGTTTAAGTTATGTTAAGCTTGATTTTTGGGTCAACTTCAAACAATCATAACTCCTAGCTCAGGATGATTAGGTGTGCTACAAGATACCGTAGGAAATACCTTTGGATTATATTTCCAACGCAACTGAGTTTACTCACTTTCGAGTTTGTATGAGGGAGATATGCCCATTTGAAGTCGAGCTATCTAGATAAGGAAAATCAAAACCAGATTTTTAAGGGGTATTTTGGTCTTTTCCATACCCAATTAAGTTAATTCGATTTTAGAATTTAAATTGGGGTCTAAAATGAATTGGTTTAGTTTAGACAATTGGAAATTAACGCTGGGATTTTTGGAGAAAGAACTCAAGAGGAGAAAGGAGAAGAAAGGTTTAAGATTCGTCAAGTTCTTGTGATTTTGGCTGTGGATTTCGCCAAGGATTCAATCATACGAGGTGTGTGAGACTTTTATAATGTTGGGTTCATTCACCCACGTGTCAAACATGTTTATTTTAACGTGAATTCGTCCTAAAAAGATTGGAAGTTTGCATGTTCTTGATGTGTGTTCTTGAATTGCTTTCATTCTTGAATTTCGGTTGAGATTGAGGAGTTCTTGAGAGTTTATTGTCGATTATTAGAGTTGTTTTGAGTTAGATTCTTGTGTGTATGTATTGGGTACCTGAATCTAAAGAGATATTGAGAAAAAGAATCTATATTAATCGAATTAAGGTCTAAAAACGAGAGGAAAAATTCGTCAGACTCGCCTGGGGAAATGCTGGCGCGGTGCCCCCCCGTTGCGCCAGGAGGGCTGGGGCGACGCGCCTGCAATGCACCAGGTCCGTCCACCCCAACCCATTTTTTGTCGTTTAGCCCGTTTAAGTACTTCTAAAGGGTACTGACAATTCCTATTGAGTCTAACTACTCTAAATAACTTCTAAACACCTAGAAATCATCCATAAACATGAATCATAACCTTGAATCCATAAATTCAAATTCAAGGAAAGTTAAGAGCCAAGTCTAGAAAGTTCATAGAGTCTTTTCAATAAGTCTTTGGCAAATGTTTTAATCTTGTTTTAAGACTTGTGTTTTGAGTTAAGTAAGAGTAACAAATGAATTTTATTTCTTCAAAAAGAGTATATGGCAACTAAGTATTCCCAAAGAGTAGATGTTTTCACATTTAAATAGGAGAGGAAACACTGATTTTCAAGAGAGTTTTTGAGCTAGTTTTTGAGTAATTATCTCAAACCACAAAAAAAGTTTTTTGTTTTTAAAACATATGAGCTGAGTATTTTGGGGGTAGTATTGAGCACCGATGTGGGGACGAGTTCATAACAACTCAATGTCTCCATAAACCATGTAGTCATCATGGGTAGAAAGGGTCATACTTTTTAGATGATTCCTTAGTGTTTTTTAGCATACACTAGTGGATCCACTTAGTTGAGGCGTTCTATATTCCGACAAGTTATAGGACAGTTCTAGCAGCGTGGGCGTGACGTTGTATCATCACATAGCTCATAGCGATGTTGTTGGTTAGAGAAACTCTCACAAAGTTATTTTAATTTATTATATATGTATATTGAGTTGTTTTTTACTGTTTTAAATGCTTCATATAAACTGCATCTTTAATGTTGTTTAATTCTGCACTTGAGTTGAGTATCCATGAGTTTGAGTAAAGTTGAGAAAAGTGTTTCTTTCAGATTCCAGATCAAGCTTATGTATTGTTTAGAATTCCCCTCGCATGCTCGTACATTCAACGTACTGATGTCATTTGACATGCATCATTTTATGATGTAAATACAGGTAACCAGGATCAGCATCCAGTGCCTCGTTGATCCAATAAAGCACTCAGAGTCAGTTGGTGAGCCTCCTTGCTTCCGGAGGATTCCCTTTTTATTGCTTTATTAGTTAGTTCATTAGGATGTCGTAGATCTTGTACCGACGTCCATCTCAGTTGTTAGAGGCTTCATAGACAGTAGTTGATGTTAGTTCTTGAGTCTTTCCATTCATGTTTTGATGATTGAGACTTGAGTGCCATTTTGGCTAGTGAATGGTCTCTATACATTCTAAGTTTTTATTGAGATTTCAATTTACTTTTAAAGTACTTTTAGAGGGTGTTTGGATTGACTTAAAAGTTGGTCAAACCTACTTTTAAGTCTGTTTTTTACTTCTGGACGTGTTTGGCAAATATGAAACAACTTAAAATAAGTTACGAAGTGTTTGGCAATGTAAAAAATGATTTAAAATAAATCAAAAATGACTTAAAATAAGTTAGAAACCAAAAGTAGGTCTCCCCCTACTTTTTATTTTTTTGACTTAAAAGCTACTTTTTTTAAGCTAATCCAAACAGGCTCTTAAACATATGAATATTAAGGAAGCAAAAAAAAAAGGATGGGGTGGGGTAAGGGATGGTAAGTACCTAAAATTTAAGATGGTGGAAAAGAAGAGAAATTGTGAATACTTTAACCAAATGAAATATTAGTAAAAAAAACTTATTTATAATGAGATCAGATGTTAAGAATAGTAGAAAAGACTCAATTTATTATGAGATGTTATGAGAAGTAAAAAAGACTCATCATATATACATATATTTATAGTAAGGATGGCATGCAAATATGAATGGAGAAAGTACCGTATAAATTTTGTGTTTTTTTATAAATAGACAGCAAACAATTTTTTGAGTAAACAGTTAGATTAATTTTATAACAATAAAAAGGGAAAAGGAAACAAAAATTCCCTAAAAAATTTATATTCCCAGACCTCTGCCCTTTCCCGCCAACAACTGAGCACAGAACTTAGAAGATTCTTCTCCTTTTCTTTTGTGACGAAATTACCCCTGCGATATCCCCAAAACTCAGCCAATAACTGAAAGGTAGAGCCGAAATTATTCCCAAACAGAATAATGGCGAGGGGCAGTCTTTGGTAACAAACTCTTGTGTGTATAACGAACTATAAATACAGCTCACGTTCCTCATTCTTCTTCATCAAATTGTAATCGAGAGATTTCTATCTTGTAATCAGGAGATCTACTTGGAATCGATTCATAATGAATTTTGATTTTTCTGAATAGTTTACATGTATTACCGTAATTCTTTCTCATCTTTTGTACTTGCTTTACTTAATTCTTCAGGATTCATGATGAATTTCGATTTTTCTGAATATTTTACATGTATTACCGTAATTTTCTCTTCTTTTGTATTTGCTTATGCTGTTAGTGATAATCACACAAAGCGATTGGCATAACTTGTAACTTCCTCTAGCATTTTGAGTAAAGTTTGGTATTGAAACCTTGCTCCCTATTCAGTCTTGAAAGTTGTTTTTGAATAGTTTGGATGAAATTCCATTCAAGCTTCCCAAAATAAATTCGTTTCATATAAATTTTGATGGAGGGATTAATTTTTTTCATACAATTTCTGGTTTCAGCATCTTGTGTTTGATCTTTTCTTTCTTTGCAAAACCTAGTTAGCTGGAGAAGATGCATTTTCACTTCTGCTTCCAAGTATTGGATTCCCCTTATTTCCTGTAATTGATTAGTTTGCTGAAATATAGGTATATCTTACTCTCTTCTTTGCCATGTTGAGCTTTACTTCTGGATCCTTCTCGCACTGGATATGGGAAGCGGGAGGCCGGTTCACAATCCTTTCTTCTGTAGCAAGTTTACTCTGTCTTTACTTTATATCACCATTGGGAGTGGTACGTGATCTGTGTCTTATAAATTTTCTTCCAAGTTGTTGATTCATTATTGAGGTCGTTTCTTATATCGTAAATCTTCTGTTTATGCAGAGGACGAGGGTCTTACTCTTGATGATTGCTGAGGTCGTTTCTTATATCGTAAATCTTCTGTTTATGCAGAGGACGAGGGTCTTACTCTTGATGATTGCTGCCTTTTCCATCGGCGCTTCTGTAGGCATTTTTACCAAATATTTCTTTGAAATAGATCAAGAGTAAGACTAGAAAGATGGCAGATATTTCTGTTGTTGATGTTCTATATGGTTGCTTTTACTGCTTTCTTGTCATATCATATTATCAAAAACCTGATTTTTGTAGTCTTCAATTGTGTACAGAGAAAGGCTTGATGTTGATTGGTATATATACTTGCGATTACTTTATCCTTAATAATTAGATCTACTCAAAATCCTTACTGGAAAAAATGGTATCCTTGTAGAAACTAGTATTGTTTTTCATCTTTAATTAGAATGACTACCTACTCTGGAACTTCTTTCTTAAGGACTTGTGAGAACAATGGCATTGGAGTAGATGAATTTGACATTTTGTATCATTCTTGCATGCAGTTAGCTAAAAGTGGCTTCTAGGATCACATAGGTTTTGGAGAACCTGGAATGGCAGGATTGATCACCTAGGTCTTCACAGTTCAGAATTGGATTATACTTAGCATATAAATGAGAAATATTGAGCAATATGGGTGTTGGGATGTTGGTCTGTTGTTAGGTTGTGAGCTATTGTTTTTGGATTTGTAAACTGATGACTTGTAATTACTTATATCTTCCATGGGTTTAGGGGATGTTACAGTTAGAAAATTCTATCTCACCATTAAGTGCATTCTTAGCTAGCAGTATATGTGAAGGAGTTCTGAAGAGTGCTCATAAATGAGTGAAACTAAGAAACATGACGAAATTATGAAGGGTGCACTTAAATAATTTTCCACTGATTTCCTGAAGTCATTTCTGATATGACACAGACATTTGCTTGCTCTTTCAGTTTCTACATTTTATTGCATCTTAATGATTTCAATAGCAGTTACTTTGCTCCTTCTGTATGTGTAGTTGATTATCTCTTGTTGTTCTGTGTCCCTTCTTTGAAGAATATTTTGATAATTTGAAAAATATCTAACTTCAGAAAGCATTCCTTGCTTTCTCTACAGGCTTGTTTGCCGCCTTTTGGCACCTCCAACACTTGGCATTGGAATTATCTGGTTTGGATCCACGTTTACGAGGGAAAGGAGTGCAATCTACATGGGCAGCCTGTTCTATTCTTCTCTTCTATTTTTCTCCACCTTTAATGCTAGTAATTCAGAATACATTGACAGCCATACAGCGCATCGGATGTTAAAGGTAAGCAGTTGTATGCATACAATGTGCTCACACACATCCTATAAATCATTACTTCTGTCTAATGAATGAATAATATGACTGATTTAATGATGAGTACTGCTTGTGTGATAGGTATGCATTGTGTTTGCATTGTTCATGGGATACCTTGTGCGCAGTGGCGGAGCCAGGATTTTCAATAAAAGGGTTTAAAATCTAAAAAAATAGACACATGAAGTAGCCGAAGGGAGTTCGACGTCTACTATATATACCTTAAAAAATTATTTTAACCATGTATAAATCATATAATTTTTCACCGAAGGGGGTTCGGATGAACCCCTCATTGTAAGGTGGCTCCGCCACTGCCTTGTGGTATATAGCCAAGAGATATTGTATGATGCTCACTTTGGAGAAATTAACTTTGTCAATCGCACACTCTCCATCTTCTTCCGTTTACCGGGTATATTGTTCCATGCTGCAAGACTATGCCTGGTTGCATAAATTGAGCAACACAGACAGAATCACAGAATTAATGTTGATACACTTGGAACAGTAGAATAAATAAAGAGTAGATTGCAGATGGGGAACTGTAAATGATGAAAAATATTCCTTTGTGGCTACATTTTACTGATTGAATTTGAAATTCGTTAGTCTGAAGCTAAGTGCTTTGAATGTTATATTCCTTGGCAAATAGTAATTGTATATTCTAGCGTTCCCAAATTTTTCACAAAATTTTAGCTACAAATCGGTTAGCTTTATCTTGATATCAGTTTTCGAAAACCCCTTTTCAATCATTTTCAGTTGGTCTATTTTGCATTCTGTTGGTGATAAGCACTTTTGCTTAACCAAATACTCCTTTTAAAACATTTTAATTGTTTTAATAGGAAAACGTATTTTGGCGGAATGACCTAGGAGACTCTTATACTTGGCTCAAATTGTCAAATAGACCCTTCTACTCATGATTTTGCCAATTAAATACTTAAACTCAATGAAACACAATATTTTAAACCCCTCTGACCGTTGACCAATCTTATGTGGCAACTTAATAGTCGACGTGGAACAAACGTGTGATCTCACTCGTTAAAAGAGCGTAACCAGAAAAATTTGAGACTAAAATTAATTAAAAGAAAAAATGAATAAAAACACAAATCTTCTTTTCCCCATTTTCTTTTCCTTTCTACCCAACATCACTGTCGTTCTTCCCCCACTTAGTCCCCATTTTTCTTTTTTGCTCCCTTTCTCCATTTCTATAATCTTTAATATGTTTGCAAAAAGTATTTCAGAAATCCTTTTCCAGAAGTAGTTGCTTCAGTCTTTGTGAGATAAAAATATATGAAGAGAAGCTATTGGGGGAATGGGGAGGGGTAATTTACCGACGACTAATTGATATAGATCTGATTATTTTGGAGCGGAGAATGATTATTGTATGTTTTTGTAAAATTAAGTGGAACATGTATATTTATTAGAACATATTAAGATATTTTAGTGTGGTTCATTGGCATTAATAGAGGAAACAGATTCACAATGGTTCAAGTGGTGGATGAAGACCTAGGTAAAAAAAATATGGCGAAAAATTATGGACGATGAAAACTTGGAGAACAATGATATTTTTTAGTTATTTAAGGTAGTAATAACTAGTAAGGAATAAGGATGTAAGATGACAATGGTGTCTTTGGTGAAAAAAATGGAGGGAGATGGTTAATGTAAAAGTTAGTGTGAGGAAGAAACGAAGTGAAAAAGAAAAATAATGAAAATTTTAAATAAGTAAAAATAAGTGAAAAGAAAAAATTTAAATTTCTTAAAATAAAGTAAAATAAGTGTGTGTCACTAAAAGTCTGATGTGGATCATGACATGTCATTTTCATTGTGTGTTTGAAGTGCACGTGAAGTCAAAAGGGTTCAAAAGATTGTGTTTCATTGAGTTTAAGTATTCAGTTGACAATATCGTGAATATAAGGGTCTAGTTGACAATCCAAGCCAAGTATAAGGGTCTCCCAAGTCATTCCGCCACGTATTTTCAGCAAATACAGGAATGATTTGTTATCTATTTCATTTTCGAATGATTTATTATCTATTTCATTTTCTGGGAAAATATTTTCTCCATTGTCAAACACAACCAAAATACATGTCGACTTTCTTTACAATGAACTGAAATTCATTATGGGTATATTCGAGTTGAAAAGGATAACAATCAAATTAGAACTTACATATATTATTATTGCTAATAAAGTTAGAGAAAAAACACTTGTTCAACAAATTTCACCTAAGTCTTCCGTTGAGTAGTAAGCTAGGCCAAGGGTTTGTTTGGGGCCAGCAATGGTTCTCGAGTGTCAGTCCCGCCCAGGATGTAGGCTCGGGGCGTGACAAATATATTAATATTTCGATTTCATACCTTGTAGTCTATGAAAATCTTGTAAGTAACATTTCATAAATATTAATTTACTGTAACACCTCGGTCTGAAAGAACTAATTTTAGCAACCAATTTGGAAAGAGCTAAATAGAGAATTTTGCAAGTTAGTCTTAAATTGTGAGTTTAGGATCAACTTCAAATGTCCATAACTTTCAGTACATGATGAGTTAGGTGGCTCATGAGATATCAAATGAAAGATCTTTGAGTCCTCTTTCCAATTCCAAAGAGTTTGCTAAATTCCGAGTTCATATAAGGGAGATATGCCCATTTGCATTCATCCTGTCCGATTAAGGAAATCCATCAGAATTAAGGAGGGATATTTTGGTCTTTTCCTTATCCCACTAGCTTAACTCATTTTTAGTAATATTTTAGGGGTAAACTGATTGAGATCATTTTTCACAATTCAAAAACACACTTAGGGTTTTAGATAGAAGTTCAAGATGGATTACCTTAATTCGGATCGATTTCCTTATTAGGACAGGTTGTACAATATGGACCGTAAAGGTGTCTGTAGAATGTTTTTGAGCTTCTCAATCCTGAGTGTAACTTCCACGGAAGCTTCTATGAATCGTACAACTTTCCATGGTCTATATAAGTATCCGTGAAAGACAAGGTTCATGAGTCCTTAGGGGTCTGGTTCACTGACCAGTACACATCCCGTGAAAGCTTTCACAGTCCGTAATCTCATCCATGAAACTTACCTCCAAAAATTCCAGATACTGAGTTCAATCATAGACCCCTTCACGATCCGTGAATGAGTACGTACAAGTCCTCTTCTACAACATTTCAATTATTTTCTGATTCCAAGGTCTGATATATATAATGAGAGAAATATATGTACTAAATCGTAAAATTTGGGGGGGGGGGGGGGTATATATTCCCCTTTTCCATTTAAATAATTTATACATATTTAGATGCTTATAACACAACAATCTAAAATGTTTAGTATTTAAATCTTGAAATAATACTTCTATCAATTAGATTCAGACGTTAATCTTAATGAAAACAAATGAGACCATTGTAATTAGAATATTATTTTTTAATTATTATTGATAAATCAGCTTTTTCCTAGTCAATATTTAAATATTTTAAAGTGCTATTCTCGTTTCTCTATACATTAATATGTTAATGAATTAATTTCATACCTTATAGGCTATATTATATAATATTAATCTGTTTAAATTATTTTGACACACAATTTAATTGATTATAACCTAGTCATTTCATTGATTTGTCTTTATATAATATCTTGTTTTTTAGGGAAAAATACATTATTTGAGATTGTCCTTCTATATAACAGTAAATTAATTGAAGTTATGATAGATTTTCTTAATATAATGATTGTACATAATTTTATTTTACGTAGTTGCCAACAAGGTTTTGTTGAGACAAGCATTCTGCAAAAGCATCAAGCCTTAAAAAAGAGGGATGTAAGTGCAAAAGTAAGAAGTATTTTGACCTTTATGGTCTTAAATATGTAGAAATTAAATCCAAGATTTCAACCCACTTCATTGACCACTTGGTCAAACCTTTGGGTGTATAATAGATCCTACATTATATGGAGAAAATCTACGATCTCAAAATAATTGAAAAATGGCTTGATATACCCTTCAACTTTGTCATTTAGAGTTGATACACTCCTCATTATAAAAGAAGTTCACATATATCCTTACCATTATAAAAATGACTCACGTATATCTCATTGTTAATAAAGCGACTCACATATACCCTTTTATCTAGCAATAGTGATTTTTTTTATTTTGAAAACAATTCATATAGGGGTATATGTGTTCATTTTTCACACATGAATTTTTTTGACCTACTTTCATTATCGTTGTTTGACTTTTTTTTTCATTCTTTATTGTAAAAATACGAAGAAAAAAAGAAGTGTGAACAGGAAAGAGAAAAAAGTAAGAAAAAAACTATAAAATATTTTATTTGGAATATATTGTAATTTATATTTTGTATCTATATTAAAAATTGAGGTATATATGATAAATTTTACAAAAAAAAGTTAGTGAAAAATACATTTGATCAGCAAAATATTAAATCCAAACTATTCATTGAATCAAACAAGTTAAAAAAAATAATAATACTTGTGAGAAGGATCAAATATACCACAAAAAAAAATATTATAATTTTTTCAAATTTTTTTACTTCCATTCAGAGAAAAAAAAGGTACATGTGAGCCATTTGTGTAATAATAAAAGTTTATGAGCAACTTTTATAACAAGGGGTACATCAGCTATTAATGACAAACTTGAAGTGAAATAATTTAAGTTAAAAGGTGCAGTATGTTTTAAATCCATTTAATTATGGATGTTTCTTTTCATCAACAACATAACGTAATGTATTAATTTAATGTAATGCCTTAAAAATTACTAACATATTTTTGTTTAAGGTAGTAAGTGGATGATTTCTACCTCTTATAAAAGGGTCTTCTTCACCCTTAAGAAATACACACTTGAAGAGAATAAATAAAGCTCCCAACTTTATACTTTTCATCACCATTTGTCTTACCTCCTTGTTTAAGTATTCTTGTATTTTGCTCTCATTTTACAACACATTATCATCACGAGTCTCTAACCAATTGAGACCACTTAAGTCGAGATTATCTTTTTATTTCCTAAAAGTTAATCAATTTTCTTTTAGAGTAAGGTATACATTCACGTGTTTATAACATCTCTAATAGGACTTGCATTAATTTTTCATCTATAATTTAATTACTACATATATAACTTGCTTTAGGTATTATTATGATACTTTACTAGGCATAATAATCAATATGTTTCAGGTTTATATTATTATGCTATATATATGCTACTAACTTATAACTCTAAACTAATTACTAAGTAATATGATAGCATGCTAGTTAAAATAACTCGTAAGTATTTTCATACATTATGATAAGTATATTGGTATGTGATAAAGAAGAATATTATTATATTAAATATAACTTGAAACTCTTATAAATATTTGGCGTTAATATCTATTAAAACTAATAATAAATATTGTAGAACAATTAAAATTATAGATTAAATCTATTGTTCAATATGTCATTAGGTCATATGTTTTTGAGACATTCAATGT